TCCAGATTTTGATCCGTTTGATCGTTTTTCAACAGGTTTTTGCTCATCATTAGACGTAATAGCGCGCTAATTATCAAAATCTTTTTAAATTTCTTTGCATATTGTAGTTTGTTTTCTTCTTTGTTAGTTTTTTGCATCATATTGCATGCACACCGTGCTTTGTGCCTTCTCCAAGCATACGTTTTGAACGTATTTTGTAAGAGTGCCTTAAGACGTTCCGTGGTGGTGCTTTACGTAAAAGCACCCATAGACAGGTTTGTCATTTTATTGTATTGACGTTACAAATGTCCAGGTTTTCTTCTTTTTTTCACGTCCGAAGCAAAAAGGAAGGCGTTTTCATGCAGCGTAAAAATGCAAATGGCGTATCATACGGCGCAAAATTGTATGGCGTAGGTGTTGCGTAAAATTTCACTCAGCCTAAGCTTTGCGAGATCTACCTCTCGGGACTAAAAGGTAGATAATTACTGTAGGCGTTAGCTCACGAGTCGACAGGCGCGCTGAACCTTCAGGAATAGTCACTTCTTGAATGGGAGCAAATACGGTAGTTAGTGCGCTTACTAATTTACCGGACAGTTAAGGTGTCGAATCCATCCCCTGTATAAAGAAGCGACGAGACGATGTCGCGCCTATGTAGTCACGTGTCCCCAGTCCAGAGACACGTGTACTCATCTTGTGGACAAAACTGATGAGAGAGTTGTTGACTTTCTTCCCTCTCACTGAATTTGGATATATGCCTCCAGTCTTGAGACATGTATTTCTATCTTGTGGACTTCCGGCTCGAATACCGGACCCGGCATGAATACCGGACCATTTTGGCTCTAATACCGAAAACCTTTTTTCATATTTTACTTTGTTAAAGTCAGGCTAAAGTTTCAATGACATATCGAGGGACTTTAGACCAACGATGACACGATTGAGAGGAAATCTTCCCCTTTTATCCTTTTAAAACCGATCTCTTCTCATGACTTGACATCACCTAGAACACCTTTACTTGTAAAAGCGTTCTACAATTGCAAAGGATCAATCTAGATTCTTTAGCGCGTTAAGACTAGAAAAAACTTTTTCTAGCCTTAATAGCTACTTGTTTCAAACACTTAACAAACTAAGGATTGTTTCGACATCCTTAAATATTACTGAAAGATTCTCTATCCTTAGAGAAATTCGCAGAATGAGACTCGGATTTATTTCCTTGACTACTTTGACCGTTGTCTATTCTAGACTCGATCAAAGTGGGGGCTAATTTTAGACACCTACTTTTGGCCTCTTTTCCCGAAAGGAAGTGCGATGATAATACAAAAATCCGTTCTTCATGTTAGATCAAAGTGGAAGTGTGTGTGGACTACGAAAAGCATTATGAAGTAAGTTAAAACCCATATTTGAGACAAAGTTATCTTAGAGCCTTTTTCGATTACTAATTAGGCCTAAAACGTGCTCATACATGTTTAAACTTGATTAATAACGGACCCAAATGCGTCAAATGCAATGATTGGATCCAATGGAACCAACATTGTTGAGAAACCGAGCCAAAAAGGTAAACCAACCATCAAATTCCTGTGCAAGGCCAATAAAGATGGATAACCCTTTCAAAGACTTTTCAATGGTATATAATAAGCCTAATTCCGAGCCAAAACGAAGAAGTTATGATCAAAACACTAAGCCGGGCCCAAAACCAACACCCTTGTACTACAACGACCATAACTTTTGATCCATAACATATTTTAACCTAATATCAATGGAATTGGAAAGTAGACATTCATAGATTTCCAATGATATCTCACAGGCCTTAATCCGACTCCGCAATCAAAAGTTATGGAAGTTTTAAACACGCGTTTTCGTATAAGGCAAACCGCAAACCAGCGCAACTCAATCAGTTGCGCGCGCCTTGCGCGCGTGACTCAATGAGATGCACGCGGCACCCAGCGCGACTCAGAGAGTTGCGCGCGTCACCTGACGGCGCGACTCTAAAACCCTAAACCTAGATCCCTACGCCTATAAATAGGGGTCTTCGTTCAGCATTACGGGGATCGAAAAATTCAGAATTGAAACCCTAGTATTCTCAAAACCCTAATCTCTCAACTTCTCTTAATATCATACTACTTTTTCTTCTCTCTTCCAAAATACTTTCAAACACTAATCCATCCATTGAAGTTCTTGAAGGTACGAAGAAGAAAGAAAGTCCATAAACACATTAAACGGAGATTTAACATAAAAGAAGAATGGTTAGTTTCCTGAGCACTTAGATAAATCACTTTTCTTTTATTGTTTAAATAACTTTAATTAAATAAATAGTGTTATTTGATCACTTTAAATAAACTTTTAATTAATTAATTCATATAGTACTCTTTCGTTAATCAAGACTAGAATTTGAATAATTAATTGTTGTTTTATCACTTAAGACAAGGCGAATCTTGTTTATTTATTGTTCTTTCACGAATATTATTAAATAAGAATAATGGCTTTTGCAATGTAATTCCTATGTGATTAATGCTTGTAAATAAAATTAACTAACATAGTTTTAGGTATCACGTTGCATATATTGTTTGGTAATGAAATTGTGAAAAAGGAAGAGCTAGTAGAGGCCGTACTAGGGCTAGAACAGTGATTCCTCCCTAAAAGGAACGTTGTTTTAGTACCCTCGCTCCTGAACTCATTTCTGGTTTATGTAGAACAATTTGGGCATGGGTAAACTTATGATTCGTGCTAATTATTTCATGAACTCCACATGGAAGAAAGACATAAACGAGGTTTAAGAGTTTTCCTAAAACTCATTGGCGACTCCTACGTACTAGTTTCTTACAAAAAAAGCGTGATGAGACTATTATTTCTAATTCAAGGTCTCCCAAACAGTCAGGAATTCAAATCCTAATACACCCTAACAAGTGTAAAGTCCTAGGCTTTTAAGCGGCCATGGGCATTTAAGGAGAGTACCCCTTACGATGGGATCACCCTCCTTACACATAAGGCTCATTTTTTTAATGATGGTAAAACACAGAGGGAAGCGATTGATTGTGATGAAACTTTTAGTCCGATCGTCAAATTGGTTGCTATTCGAATTGTTCTTATATTAGCATTGTTTTGTCTTGCTCTAATATCATGTTAGATGACCAACTCAACAAAAAGCTGAAGTTGATGGTTGATGCCTAGGAATATGTTTAATACTTTATCAGTATCAACTAAAAAAATAAAGGTAGTGAGAATTAAATACGTCAATGGTATGGTGAAAGTAGAGTATTTTTAACAAATATGATTAGTCTAAATGATACAACTACTAAGAAATTGAGGTAATTTAAGCCCTTAAGGGATAGAGCGCTCCTCATGAGATGCATGACATAGCATTAACAAACATAGAATTAGGTGATGACTAATGAGGCCAGTGGTGGATCCACAAAGGCACAAAGGGTAGCATGTCTACCCCTTAAAAAAAATAATAAATAAATAAATAAATAAAATTCAAAGAGACTTGTTATCTTAAATAATCGGTCTCTTTGAGGATACTATAACAAATGTCAACAAACTCGTTGCTTTTGAGTGATTTCCATGCTAAAAGAAAATAGACATGTTATATATAAAATAGGTCTCTTAGGTTCTTATTTTTTTATTAAAGCTTCTTTTTATGCTAATAAAAGAAAAAAAAGACCTGTTATACATAAAATAGGTCTCTTAGCTAGGTTCAATTTTTTATTTTTATTATTATTATTATTGAAACAAAATACTTTACTTACATTTGTAGACAATTTTTTTTAAAGACTCTCATTTAAGTTATAAAAAATTTTAAAGCAATATAATTTATCTACCAAAATGAATTTTTAAAATTAAAAAGGATAATTACTAGACACTAATACTAGTATATAATATAGAACGTTTTTCAAATTTTTGTTTTTTTTTTTCTTATTATTCTATGCTACTACTAGTTAGAATTTTTTATATTGGATGAGGCCCACTAGATTTTCAATGCGTAGCATCAATCTTTGCATCAAAATAAGCCATGTATATCTAAGAGAGAATAAGATGTCCTAAGTGCAAAGTCTTCAACTTTATTCTTTTCATTCTTTAACTAAAATCTTGATATTTACGAATTTGAATATTCATAAATGACAATAACTTACATGAACTTAATTGTTCAAGAATGAATCCATTCATGAATAATACATTAATACAAAATAATTCCAGAACTTAACTTATTTTCATGGTTTGTTGAATATGGGTAGTTGTATTTCTTCGAGAGAGACTTTTATTGGGTTTATATGGAAGAATATATGACCTCTTTTGACAATCTATAAATATAGAAACCTGATAAGGGTTTAACATCAACAACAAGAGTAGTGAAAACATCTTTGAGAGAGAAAGATGTTGTAATATAAGAAGTATTTTCAAGGCTATATTCTAAAATAAGAAGATCGAAAAGATGATCTTGAGGCAATGAAAGAGTATGGTGTGTCTTGATGCAAATCACTGACTTAAAAACGAAATTCGGGCGCAACCGGGGTGCACTATTGTATTCGCCGGCACGTTCCCTAAGGTTAACACACCACTTCCACACAAAAGCACTTTTGGGTGGAAAGTTGGAGCCAAGTAACTTATGCCCAATATAGAGTATGTGGTTAAGCAAACTTGTGTTTGATATGTATTTCTTGTGTATCTCAAAATCAGAAAACATCCTCCAATTTATAGAAATGAATGATGGAAGAAGATGAAAGATCATGGAGGAATTTTCTATGAACAAAGAAAAGAAATCAGAAATATTATGGTTATTGAAAACACCATAATCAACCTCCACTAGTGGAAAAATTGCTATTAGCAGCACCCTATTAGCAACTGACGTTGTATGTGTTAGTTACTAAAAGACTAATTGCAACTAGCCAAAATAATGTCAGTTACAAATACTATATCATTAGCAACTGGCATAGTAATGAGTGCTGCTAATACTTGGATTGAAAAAGTAAAAATATATATTAGCAACTGGCCTATTTGAAGTTAGTTGCAAATACTATAGCATTTGTAGTTGGCGTAATAATGCCCACTGCTAATAATAATTATTTAAAAAAATAAAATATTTATTTGTAATCGAGCTGCTAAGATAATAGGGAATGAAGTTCTAAATTTGACCCACCCGTTTCTCTCTCCTCATAACCGCGCTTCTCTATCATCTAAAAAATTAGAAACCCTACAATCTCTCTCATCAGCCCTTACATCCAATGTCCCTGAACGTCACTCACCTCACCTCCATTATACCGTCCTCTCCTCCATTGCTAGAAGATTTTAGTTAAAAGCTACTCCTTTTTCAACTTTGCCTCCACTAGAGTAAACCCTAACCCCTGAAAAACCAAGATAAACTCCTAAATTTGAGTACAAACCCTAACTTTCAAATAGTCGAAACAGTTACTACTAATTTGAACGAAAATCCAACATCCTTTCTTAGTTCTTTTGAATTTTCAGTTGTTATTTCCTTAAATTTAGGGTATTTTTGCCCAATTTTCTGCGGTTTTTGTAGTTCGAATTTTATTGGGGTTTTTGGTCAATTTTTTGCTCGAAAATAAGGGGCTTTGGCTCGAATTTGCTCGAATATAGGGGGGTTTTGCCGCACATTTCCTGGGTTTTTCGATTAGTGGTCGAACTTGTAGGCTTTGGGGTCGAATTTCTCAAGGTATTGCTGTTGAAATCGCTGGTGTTTTGGGGTCGAACGGCAGCAGGGTAGCGCTGGGGATTTTTGGGGCTTTGCTGGTTGAATTTTTGAGGTATTGCGATTGAATTTGCCATCCCTTTCTAGAAGCTCGCTATAGATGTCCTCCATGTGACAAAGTCCAGGTTATGTCGTGGTATATCGATTCGATAATGTTGCTTGGGAGCTCGGTATTTAGGTATTTCTTGCTTTCTCTTTCAAATCTATCGTTTTTCTTTCAATTCTGCAATTTCATGTTGTTTTTATGAGAAATTTGGTGTCAAACCTTAAAATTTTCGATTATTTTGATTATAATTGTTGATTTTTTATGTTGATTTTATGGAGGAGCTTTTACGACACTCGCAGAGAGGGGGTGTCGTTTGACACTTGCAGAAATGACCACTGCTTCTCTTGTTTAAAGTGAAAAATATGCTCATTCTTTTCTAACTGAGGTTCTTTATTTCACTTATAAGATTACTGTTTTGGCAATAAGATGAATTCTAGGGTTTGATTTTGAATTCTGTTTTTTAGGTGTGTGATAATCGTTCAACTCACAATTGCTGGACTTATAAGGTAGTTAATCAAATAGAACTTTTGGTAATGTTGTTGTCTCCTTACTTTAATGATTGTCTAACTATTAAATGCCTACTCTTTATTTGTAGAAGGGGTAGCAGTGAATACTTTTTCATAAGCACTTTATTCTTATGGCTTTAGCTTGGTGATGATTACTTACATAAGTTGAGATGATTATTTGTATGTTTATTAAACTATATATACCTTTCAATTACATTAACTTAGATGTGTTTCCTATTTACACTAGTGTATTTCATTTATGAGTACTAATTTAGTTGTGACTTGTGAGGCACTGTGACACATTCATATTACTAACTATATGTGGAAAACTCCAGATTTTCTCTTAAAAAAAATTCTTCAGACCTTTATTATGTTTTCTTTATTTATTAATTCGGTGGTGACCGAGGAATGAATATGGTAATGTATAAGACTTAAGATTTGATGTGCATCTAGATTTGAGTAGACTAATGTATACTTGATACATGGACAGCTACTAGTTGCCACTGTTGAACTATCACCTTTGATTTTCTTAAGGTTCTATAATCTGACCATTGTATATTCAATATGATTTGTCTATCTTCAGCTGATTATAACTTATGGTTAGTATATGTATTTGTAAACAATATGATATTATATGTTTTATGCATACTCCTGATGCAAAAAGAATTTTAAGTTATAAAGCAGACAAATTGACCATTGTATTGATGTAGAATGTGATCTGTCTATTTCCTAATGACGACAGTAAAATGCGTTTAGAGTTGAGCCAAAGCCAAGGAGTGGGCCCTTTTGATTGGATCACCAAATTGTAGAGTTGGAGCATGTGCAAATGTGGAACCCAAGCTCCATCATCTCAGCCTCACTCCACCTTCAACGTTAAAAAAGAAGGGAGCTTGTTGAGGTCTCAACCATCTAGTATTGACTCAGTGTGGTTGGCACTTTGATAGGTCATTACTGCCATCATGTGTTGGCGGGTATTTGCTGGTATTTGTACTATAAAAGCTTGGTGGTATTTGTATAGTATAATCTTGATGAAATTGAGAAACTTGCATTGATAGTTTCAGAGGTTAGTTTTTACTTATTAGAATGTGGGCATAATATGTGATCTGTATTGTTTGGTACAACAGATTTGGATCAATGTGGACTGTTTTCTAGAAATTCTTTTTATGGTCTAATATGATGTGTCCAATTGTCATATTTCTATATTTACCTTATTAATTAACTTTTTGTTCATGGAATGAGGGATTGCTGATAAACTGTCGCTGGATCTTGTACCTGTTTGCAGGTTTGGCATATTAGAACCACTCAGAATTTGTGACGCCTTGAACGTGTTCATTCTATGAGAGTTAAAAGTCTTTGTTTTTCTCGAGATGGAAGTCAGATATTAAGTACATCTATTGACAGCACTGCCAGGTTTGGATCTCATGCTTGACTTACGGCATTTGATTCAATTGGCTAATATCATAGGTAGTTCTGACTAGTTTTCTGCTGTTAGCTAATGTTTTGTGTTGTATTTTTTGTTCTTTATGGTTTCTCCTATATTTGACCCTAGATGATGGTTCAATCAGTTATTTGTTTCTAATTTTTTTTATGTTGCTATTGTCTAGCTTGATGGGCTCTCCACACTGGTCTTCTAAAATTTAAATATAGTCACTAATTTGTGTTATTGATTGAACTCAGGATTCATGGTTTGAAGTCTGGGAAATTGTTGAAGGAATTTCGTTGGCATACTTCTAATGTGAATCATGCCATATTTACAAATGACTGTAGCCGTGTGATCAGAGCATCTCTAGATCTTTCAACCAGTCAATTTTTTTTTAATTTTTTTTTTTTGTATATTTTTTAATTTGTAATGAATTGTATACTTCATTCTTTTTTTTTTTAGGAATGAATGTATACTTCATAATTAACATAAATTTTCGTATATAATATAATTTGTATGTCAATTTGGCAAAATTATAATTTTTTTTTTAATTTAAAGAAATGACTATTCGCAACTGGCGTAGTACTTGGCCAGCTGCTAATAGTCTTTTTTTTTAATATAAAAATAAACTATTAGCAACTGGCCTAGTTTTACGCTAGCTACAAATAAACACTATTAGCAGCTGGCCTAGTTCTACGCCAGTTGTAAATAAGTACTATTAGCAGCTGGCCTAGCTCTACGCCAGTTGCGAATAAGTATCATTAGCAACTGTCAAGTGTTCGTTGCTAGTAATATAAGCATTAGTAGCCCCCGCAATGGCAGCCCTACATGCCAGTTGCTAAAAGTCACTTTTTGCCAATTGCTAATAGCGTTTTTATCACTAGTGCTCTAAAATGGGGGGTTATAAGAAATCAAACAAGAAGAGGAATCCAAGGGAACCGTTGGAGTCTAACCCGATCGGGCGGACACTCCTTTTTTCCAGACGTCTTCTCGCGCCCGGTCGGGCGGGGCTCGCCCGATCGGGCGCCAGGTCGAGCACCCGATCGGGCGGCGGAACTCCAGAATTTTACGACTCTTCTCGAGCCCGATCAGGCGGGTCTCGCTCGGTCAGGCGCCTGATCGGGCGCCCATATCTGACCCTTTGAATTTCCTTTCTTTATTTCCAACAATCCCCCACTAAAGGAAGGGAAGAAAAGCCAACAAAAGATGAGGATAAGCAACATATTGGGCATAAGAGGAGATCAATACATAACACTTAGATATTACATAAGTAATTTGAAATCTAGTGCTTAGTGAAATGAGATAATGAATTACAAGTATAAGGGTGGACAAATCTTGAAACCCTTAGACTCTTGATCAAGGAGTGGACTAGCCTTGAAACTCCAAGATTTAATTCAAGACCCCCATATCACATACCTTTCTCCGAAAATTTACTTGAACTCCGCGAAGAGATATGCTCTTTTATAGCCAAGCATATTCACCTTAGGTCTAGTGGAAGCTCTAGGAAATCCGCTTAAATTTTCCATAGAAGATGGCTAGTCTTCACAACCACACAAGTGAATAACAAGCACTTCTCAAAAGTACTTAGTCAACGGGGTTAAAAATGTTTATAAGAACTCAACAAATGCTGCATTGTAGCTATTTAGCCCCACATGACAATGGATTCATTAAGAGCTTAACGCTCAACCTCACAATAATCATAAACAACGGTGATCTAAAGTTTTAGTGCGTCCACCCAAACAATTGGATTCATTAAGAGTCAAAGGACTCAACCTCAAACGGTGGATCAATCAAGTGCGTCTCAAATAGCACCAACCAAAAATAGTTTATTGATCCATTAAGAACTCAAAAGAGTCTAGCCTCAAACAAGCATTACAACATATGCCATAGGGATAGGAAAGTAATGCTTTTCCACATGGGCTTAAGGCCTATCCCCCTCGACATTTCCACAAATTATCAAGGATTGTGTTACATGCCCCAAATTTCCTTACCATAGTGCAAAATTATTTTGCTAGAATATTTTTTCCAATAAGGAAAACTAGCATGTTTTCAACATCAACTTAAATTGCACAAATGGTTAGAAAAATATATCCCTTAGTTTTTCACCATTAGATGAATAAGTAATAAGACAACGAACCCAAGACTTGAAATTTCAAAACCTTAATCAAGTCCAATCCTTGAAAATAACATAGCCGCATTAGTGAACTTTCTTCATCAACCATAAATCACCAACACTTGCCTTCCGAAAAATTTGAACAACTTTTCCCAAAAGCTATTGTATTTCACACCCTTCGTACCTAAAAAGATACTTAGTAAAAGATGAAGTAAATTTAAACAACGTTAGTCATTCACTAAGCTATTAGATTTGTAAAATATTGCACTTCAACTATTTCACAAATATACACTATGTTAATATAAAATGCAATGCATGTCACTATCACATTGCTAAATGTATTAGCATACTCCACTCAAGACATACTTTAAGACCTCTTTAAAGTACATACACATAATTCATGATAAAACATACTCCACTCAAATGATAACATGAACAACGAATATCATATCATCGCATAAATCTTTCCAATCACGAAACATGTATGACACTTTGGAAAAAACCAAAACTCATAATGATCATTATTATTCTAAAAATAATAAAACATATTGTCATAATCCAAATCGTGAAAATTGCTCAACAAAATTGAAAAGATAAGAAGTTCAAGAAAGTTGTTAACTACAAATCACATGTGATTCTCGACACCACCATATTTCTCACATTGTAGAAATAGCACAAAAATATATATAACCCTGAAGCAAGTAGTGAGAAACAAACTTAATCACAAGTATTAGATTCTCATAAGGTACTAACCACACTCTTGTACCACTCCCTAAGTAATAATCTCAAGTCAGCTCATACTTGAACTTATAACTCACACTTGAACTTCAATTCACATTCTTATGTTCAACCTAGAACTCACCAACTAACCCACTTAAGTCATCACTTAGAAGGCTTAACAAACCACTAGAGGGGAACTTATCATCAAAGACTAAAGATCCGAAATAATTAAGTCATCCAAGTAAGACCTACATCGCTCCATTAAGACAAGAAAGACAAAGTCACCTTTACTCACAAAAATAGCCTTGATCATTCCCAACAACACTTAGTGAATTGACATTGAAAAGACTATAGAAGAAATATTAGGAAACACACTCTATATAAAAAGATAGGAGAACTCTAGGCAAGTTAAAATTATCTAACTCATCCTCAATAACTTCTTCTAAAATAACCAATCACTCACGTCATCAATTCATTGAGTTAAGGAAACACTCTTCACACATTGCATAGAGAAACCAAATCAAGACAAATAAATAACAGTCTTTAGCATAACTAGTCACTTTCATGCTTTGCATCAAATAGAAGAGAAACTAAAAATGATGCCTCTTATTCCTCTTATAGTTAACTTGTTTACTCAATAAACAAAATAAATGCATATATGGGAATATAGCAATCAAGAGACATGAGAATTTCACATGCATAGCCAATCACTCAAACATGACATAATGCATAGAATTGCTAAAAACAAATTATTAAAGTAAAGGAAATAATTTAATTGTGATGAATGGAGATTGCCAAATATTATAGTACATGGAGATAATCCAACAATGACATACAATAATCCAACATTGTGGTATATGGAGACAATCCAACATTCACAAACAAAGTCATGGAGCATAGTATCATTTGCTTAAAAAGCAAATCCAAAATATCAAGTAAACCAAGACTTTAAGTCTAACATTTATTCTCATATACTTTTCCCCCACATTGAACGATATAAGTCTTCAACTTAAGTATTGAAATTAGACATGGTAAACTCTATTCCTTTCACATGGGGCATATAAGGACTAAATTCCTACTACAAAATTCTACACTCATAGAATCATAACCCCCACATGCCAAAGTTAAGTCTAAAATCAAAACATAGTTGATATGGAGAAAAGGAATATGTGGACATACCTCCATAGTGCCTCTAATAATTTACCTTAACGATCAATGACGAACAACCCAATGACCACCACTTGTAGTGATTGTGCACCCACTAAGTATTTTGAGCTTCTTCGAGCACATTTGAATTCATGTTCTTTGCTTGAAAAATATTGACATTATGTGGAGATTTACTAGACATAGCACCAAAAGAAATAAAATTCTTAAGAATCACTTCCCACACATAAGAAATCGATAAATATTCCTTAAAGAAATGTCAATACCAAACCAAATTGAACCAAATAAGAACAAATATGAACAAAACACGTATTAAGAATTAATAACTCTTGAAAACTCTCTCTTAAGGTGGATAAACAAAGAAGTAAAATAACCTAACCATTGAATTAAATAATAATTCAAACATTATTTTACTTCCAAAAATTCATCATAAGGTTGACACACTACACATCAAAAATAGTCACCAAAAGTATTTCAAGAATATTAAAAATTAATTAAAGTAGTCATCCATTCTCAACAAGAACTATGACACCACTAAGAGTCACAAATACAACAACCACTAAGCATGTTCTCCATGAAAATGATACACATATGGCTCTTAGCTTCACAAAATAATTACATAATTCTCATTCAAAAACTTCTCATACTTAATAAATTGAAAGAATTAACACAAGTTTTTGAGAAGAAGTATGCAAAAAGAGCGTTATCATGAGCATGAACAAAGTCTCCACAAGCAACATAAATATATATATGTATATCAACACATATGTACCAAAAGTAATAGACTTTGACATTGCATCACACTTCGCATAATCACAAAATTCATGGTAATACTTACAATTTAACAAGTCTTAAACAACCATGAACTATTTATTAAAATAGGCATGTAAATATTAGGAGCACAACATATTGCTAAAAGAAAAATAACCTAATATTTACTTTCTCAATGAACAAAACAACACATATGTTCAAAAATCAACAAATTGGTAAATAAAACCAACTAACGTATTTCTAAGTGCCAAGTTCAAACCACAAGCGTAGAACAAAGACATAGAAATAATCATGCCATTTAACATCACACATATATAACATGGATTATACTTTAGCCTATAAACTAATAATCATGTAACAAATACTACATTACGGACAAAATAATCATCTAATATTATAATGCCAAAAATCACAACTCATATATTTTCCAAGAAGATTATTAGAATTAAAATCACGTGCTAAGCATAATCAAAATAAAATTAGTTTAGAGAGGACCTCCCTTGCATTAATTCAATTGCCAAAGATGAGCATTCTCCGTAGTACGCCTAAATTTCCTCTCCAAAAATGCAGCTTAACATTGAAGCCATAACTCCCAAATGTGAGCAGCTATCAACGATCCAACCGTTGAAAATGAAGCTTCATATGTCCCGAGCAAGATCCCAAAATTTCAGCCCTAACCGACAACGATTGAC